CACTACATTAGTTTATGTTGTTCATATCGAATTTGTGGTTATAGTGTCTTACGGGTAAATTGTTGAGGACAATAGTTCTCTATATAACTTTTGTCTCGAAGTCTACTAAGAGAGCAAAGTGATTTTTATTGAGAGCTTGAGCTTTGGTTCTATATACAAGTATTGATAGGATAATAGTCTGATACTATTTCAAAGTTATGGTGAGATTTCTGAATTTAAAGATGTTCAACAGAGTATAATATGCTATATGTAGTGTTTAACCAGCCATTCGAGTGTTTATTTATCCGTGTTATTATTAAATGCTACAACGGGATAAAGATAGTTTAAGGATTACATTATTTTGAACTTGTTCTCCACTGCTGTGATTGTTGGTCTCAGTAGTACTGTAAGTAGTTTTATTGTAGACAATACGCAACTTCATATTTTTTTCTCATTATAATAATTGTTTGACTAGCTCTAAGGGTTCCTACCACTGATGAGGTACTTTATTTTTCTTTAATTCTTTTAACGATTGTTAAAATTCCACTAAAACTAGTTGGGGTCTCAAACTTATCTCAATGCCATTGTTTGTACCGATATGTAGTTGAACTAGTGATGATGGTCTGTCTATATGGTTAAGGTACGTATGTTTACACTGTTAAGAGTTTAGTTTTCATTATTAATTCTTGATTATATCGTTGATATAATCAACTAAAATGAAAAACTTTTTTAGTAGTTCAGGCTTATTATTGATACTGTGTTTCTCTAATTGTTTGTGTGTGTGTGTATCTCTAATATTTGATAATAATATTTGACATAATATTTCATAGCTCAAAAACATTAACTATTGAACTAAATAGAAATAAATGTGATCCTGAATACTGATTTTATTCAATTATTAAATTTTTACTTTTTGATTGGCATGGAAATATTTAAATTAAAAATTAAAATTCTGTTCACGGTTGTAAGCCCTTCAGCAATTTTAGAGAGCAATTTTACAATTTTGAAGAATTGAAATAATAAAACACTTTGAATTTAATTGCGTAATGAAGATAAAATAAAAACACTGACAAAAATCGCAGTTAATTTTCAGACTACAATAGGATAACACAAGTGCGTGAATCAGGACAATACCGCCGAGGGATGAAAACAAAGCCGATCGCAGTCAAAAATTAATATGTTTCCGCTTGGAAGTTGCCTGCTGTGGCAGCTGCCTAAGCTCCCACAAATTAAAACGTGCGTAGATACTCACGCAGGCATGCGTGCGAATTCAACGTGAAAAGTGAATGTATGGCGCACGTGTGTGCTCGCACAGGACTAATTTATTCCGCGTGCGTAAAATGTTTTGTTTCTTATTCAAACTGGCACTGGCACTGGCCTATGATGAATGAGTCTCAGTTTTTTATTACAAGTCGCACATGATGC